CATGGGATTAATGAAAGCTCGCCATCTAGCGGATATCTTCCTCCTTGGGAAAAAAAAAAAAAAAAGCCTAATTCAAGTAAGTTTCTTCCTTACTCACATCTCGTTGGTTCCTCCATTTGGATAACCAGATCTCAGGAAGTGAGTTTGACAGTGAGGGATTTGCTCTTGTGTTTCAAATAGTGAATTCCGAGAGTTCGGATAGCAAGGGCAGGCGTTCCATTCACACAGGAGTTTCAGAGCTCTATCTCCAAGAGACTGGTGAAACCCTTGAGACTATGGCCCCTAGTGACCCTCCAGGCCCAGAATTGAGCTCACTCCCATGGCTTCCAGCCAAACAACAGACAAGCGTACAAGGTGAACATGTGTGTCAGGTAGGTACACTCCTTAGATGAGCTATCAGAAGGGCAGTATTTGCACAGGGAGCTCGCTCAGGGGCCAGGAATGCATAGGAAGGAAGGACACGAGGAGGAATTGGGAAGAGAGCTGTTACAGTATGGGAATTGCAGGCAATGTCATGAAACAAAGTGTATAAGAATTGCTGCACAAAAAACGAATTTGTTCTGTGAACTTTCATCCGAAGCACACATGAAAAAAAACCCTGCAAAACCCTCAATCTCCAATCCAGTGCTTCCGGTTATGATGCCACCTGGTGTGAGGGAAGAGAAGGCTAGGCCACTTGTAGGATGAGTACAAATCTAAGAGTTCATGGTTTCCCCATAAAGGCAACGAGATGTAGGAAAAATAACTAGGAGGTTGGTAGGAGATACAAAAATGACAGAGAAGTCTTTTAAAGGCAAACTTTGCCCATTTTTATAATTAGCCCCACAAACTCTTAACATTACTGGCCCACACTTTCCAGTTCTGCTTTTTATAGGAAAATGTGTTCCAAATTCCAAGAACAGGCTTACACATTTTAGAAAAAGTCTGTGCCAGTGGCATTGATCAATGGAAAGAACAATGACTTTGGCCTCAGACAGTTTTGGGTTTTAATTCTGGCTCTGTCGCTGATTTAGGGCAGTATTTCATTCAGAAAACTCAAGTGCTATTGAGTTCATTTTGACTCCTAGTGACCCCCCTGGGTTTCCAAGGCTGTAAATCTTTACTGAAGTAGATTAACCCATCTTCCTTCTGCAGAGTGGCTGGTAGGTTTGAACTACTAACCTTCTAGTTAGCAGTCAAATGCCTTACACACTGTGCCATCAGAGCTGCTTATTTCATTCAGAGTCATTATAAACATGGGCTTTGGAGTCAAGTTTAACTTTGGTTCAAATCCCAGCCCTACCACTTGTGAATTTTATGACTTAAAGCGTTACTTAACTTTTGTGCATAGCAGATATAATGCCAATGTCATGGTTGTGGGGAATATCAATGAAAAACAAAAGAATGCTAATACACAGTAAGTGTTCAATAAATGTTACTTTTGCTAGCTGGTGTCTTCAATCTGTACCACTTGATATTTTAAAGTTAGTGGTGCATCACTGATATTAGTATGGATATGCTCTCATTAAAAATCCACATACAAAAATTTACAGATGAGGGAATATTGCACTGTGTGTGTGGTGGAATAAGCCTGATTCTTGGGAAATAAACAGGCCTCAAAATTCCTGTAAAAAATGAATGTCTTTAATGAATGAATATGATTCTAATTCTAAAATGTAATTAACACAAAACTTTCAAGATAAACACACCTACATTACTTTGGGTAAGAAGGATTTTTTTTTTTTCTTTAGGAGTTTAATATTTTATAATGAGTAAAACATTATTATTCAGATAAAATAATGTAAACTAAGGAGCTCTGGTGGTGCAGTGGTTAGGTCATTTGGCTGCTAACCAAAAAGTTGGCAGTTGGAACCTACCAGCTGCTTCACTAAAGGGAGAAAGATGAGGCAGTCTGCTACTGTGAAGACTTACAGCTCTGGAAACCCTGCGGGGCAGTTCTACTCTGTCCTATAGGGAAGCATGAGTCAAAACTGCCTCAGCGGCAGTGGGTTTGGTATTTATAATGAAAATGGTAGAACTGTGTGTGAATTTTTTTCTTTCATTTGTTGTTTTTTTGTAGTGTATAATGAAGAAAATTATACTTTCATTAAAATGCGTATAAGCAGGAAGTATAAAGAGAAAGTAACGCTTAGGTGTTAAAATAACATTATATTGATTCTTCACTCTTTCTCCCCTTTAGGGCAAACAGATTTACAGAGAAACTCAACTGCAATGCCCACCGTAAATACAGCCAAGTGGGCAACTTGAAAGGGAAATGGCAACACTGGGCTGATGAACACATACAGTCTCAGAAGCTCAATCCTTTCAGTGAAGAGTTTGATTACCAGTTGGCCATGTCCACGCGCCTACACAAAGGGGACGAGGGCTACGGCCATCCCAAGGAGGGGAGCAAAACCGCCGAGAGGGCCAAGCGCGCGGAGGAGCACATTTACAGAGAAATTATGGACATGTGCTTCATCATCCGCACGATGGCTCCCCACAGAAGGGACGGGAAGGTCCAGGTCACCTTTGGAGATCTCTTTGACAGATATGTTCGCATTTCAGATAAAGTAGTGGGCATTCTCATGAGGGCTAGGAAACACGGACTGGTGGATTTCGAAGGTGAAATGTTATGGCAAGGCCGAGATGACCATGTTGTGATTACTCTACTAGAGTGAACCTTCAACAACAAAAACCAAACCTGACCTATTGTCTTAATGCTAAATGCTAATGCATTAACAATTAAAATGCAAAGTGCTCTGTAATAATTTAGGAAGTATTAAATAATTGTACATAGAGACCTTCTAGTGCTCTGTTCAATGAGGTCTGACGACCTGAAAAGCACACAGTAAAGCGTTTCAGAAGGCAATGGTGTCATCAGTCCATACTAGTACTAATTGAAATTACACTTACCATTTTTGGCAAAAGTATTTGGCTATTCATTGCAGAAAGTATTATAAGTATTTAAACAAACAAGGATGCTGACTTTAGGGAAAGTGTAACAGAACATACTCTGACATCAGCATTCATTTTTAGGAAGGAAAAAAAAAATAGAAACTGCTCCATTTAAGCTCAGCAAAACTAAACTTATAATGTCCTAACAAGTTTGAAATACTATTGCATTTATTATTGTATCACTTATAAAATAATTGCGTGTATAAAAAGTTAAGTTTTAAAATAAGATGTTGAAGTTCCTCCATGGGCTTGGCATTTAGTAGGCTTCCCAGCAGGAGTTAGTTTCCCTCCTTCTGGGTGATTTGAGCTGATGATGTAAAAACAGTCCTTGCGGGTGCTCTCAGAGCCAGGAGAGACGGTGGTTATGTCCACTTTGGCTCTGAGAGTAGGGCAGAGGGGGGAGATTCAGATTTATCTGCCTTTGTAGGACTTTCTGGAGAAATTGATCTTTTCTCCAAAACCTAATAAATCACGCCATTTACATTTGTGCCAATATACAATGAAAGAGAAATACAGAAAAAATAATGGAGTGTTCCATATAGAATTTTATAAAATCATTGGTTAATTAGAAACAGACTTGAAACACTTTAATTTTCTTCATGTTGTAACAAAGCAAACTTTTGAAATGCCTAAAAGTCCTAAAACAACATTAGTCCTCCACAGAAAAAAGTATTTAACGCTAATAATCTCAGTTGTCAAGCTTTTTGCATTTAATAAGTCTAAAAACTGAGAAAAAGATGTTAGTATAATTCTTACTGAATTCAATGAAAATTACTAAAACGCATAAATATTCACTTTGGTGTTAAATAGATTAATGTCAGATTCTGTCAACTCAAATTAATAGGCATCATAATTTTAGGTGTCAGGTTTAAAACACTGCACAGACTACTACAGGAATTATCTGCATGCATGTACGATTCTCTTTCAAACTGAAAGTTCATGTATCTTCTTAAAGAAGAACGTATGTACATTTTTGTTTCCACAGTATTTATAAAATTGCAAATCAGCGACCAATATTTCTAAAGAAAGTGTAAGATGTACACTTTCATCACAACAGTGAAACTTATATTAAAATTGAAAGGCCAATGGCATGAGAATAAAAGTGTTTTATTTATTGTACTGTTTTTGTTTATATACTGCTTTTAGGTTACATTGCACGATACCACTTTGTGTTTGAAATACAACAAAAGTAGAGACCAAATTGGGTCACTTCTAGTAGTGGTACAGTACTTAGACCAAGGCCTCAAGAGGCCTCCTATTCGAATATGACTGGAACAGTTCATATAGGCACTAACATAGATTGTTCAAAGTTCAGTTTGGTTGAATTGGAGGATAAATGGTCCTCTTTCAGAGACTTCACAGGTGTGGGCTTTGTAAAGCCCAGAAAGTTAGTTTTCTTAGAGGAAAATGCCTTCTATGTGGCAGGCACATCTGGAGAAGCACCTTCTTAGGTAGGTATCATAAGGGCTGGCTTGTTATAGCTCATGGTTTGTAGATAGATTTTCTGCTTTATTGTGTATTATATTCCTATGTTAAATATTTCATTTAATGGCCATGTTATTGTTTCCTGATTTGGCAATTCAAAAATACTCTCTAATCAACCCAATGATTATTATCCTAAAAAAAGCCATGACAGGAGTTTGTTAGTGGTTACCAGGGTTGGGTAGGAGGGAAAAGGGGGGTTATTACTGCCTAAGGTGCACTGAAAAAAGAGAAAAATTGGAAATGGATAGCGGTGATGGTTGTACAACATAGCGAGTGTAATTGTCACTGAATTGTACATGTAAAAATGGTTGAACTGGTGAATGTTTCATTACGTTTGTCTTACCATACTAAAATCAAACAAACAAACAAAAAAACAAGAAAGTCCATAACAGGAAAATCCATAGTTGAGGCATTAGAACATTTTGACAAAAATATAAAAAAAGGAAATGGAGCTCAGTCACAATGAACTAATGAAAAATCTTTTTATTTTTTTGTACCAAACCAATGCCCTTGAGTTGATTCTGATTTACAGCACCCCTCATTGGGTTTCCAAGGCTGTGAATCTTTATAGAAGTAGATTGTGCCATGTTCCTCCTGTGGAGCAGCTGGTGGGTTTGAACTGCCTACCTTTTGGTTAGCAGCCCAATGCCTTTGCAGTGTAGTAAATTACTTAGTATGGCTTTTCTACCCATAAGTCATTGTAAACTCAGTGGTGGAATGAGCAACTGAGGAGCTGATTGTAAATGTTATCCACATGGAGTGTTTCTGTTGGGCGTGGCACAATACAATGTTCTGGGAGGTGCCCACTTTCTCTCAGGTGCTTAGAGTT